TTATGAAAGGTTAAACTTTTTAAATGTATAACTTTCTATAATTGATTATCAGCTTAGTTAAATAAATATTCTCAATAACCTACAATCCTGTTGCAATAAAATGTTATAAGTTTTCTGACATCTTTGACATGGATTTTCAAGATCAAATTCTAAATCAAGCATTTTTTTACCTAAAATTAGACTTTTGGGTCTCTTAATTGGATCTCGGGAAACCATCAAAGGATGTATCTCTCATTTTTCAGGTTTTCTTTTTTTCGTCACCTTTCATTTTTATAGAAGCTTATCTGAAATATCAACTCATATGACAATCATTGCCAAATGATTTACTAAATCATCTTCAAGATTATACTTATATAAATGGTTATTGAAATAAATGTATCTAAATCACATATATTTTATAAGTTTAAAGGTCCTGATATTGACGTTGGAGAAAAGGACCCTATAAATATAGTTAGGGTAAAGATCCAAAATGGAATCACAGAATGGCTAAATTTTTCTTTTTCTTTCCTTTTTTTTCAAGAGGTTTTAACCTTATGGTATCTGTGTTTACCAGAGAAAGAGACAGAGACAGTGAAAGGGAAAGTGAGAATCACCCCACCCCCAAGGGGATTGCCATGATGTAATCCCTTCTCTTCCATTCTCTTCCCAGGATCTTGGACATGCACCAATACACACCTGGTGTGAGTTGCAAGCCACTGTGGTCTGTCATGTGAGAGTACAACAACGTGACTGCTCCACCATCTGCTGGTTTCACAAAATGGCTAAGTTTTAACATGGGGACAAAGCAGCTCTGCTGTTTCCTCAGGAGAAATCTCTTGGAGTGGTGGCTCAGTGACCAACCTCGGAAGCATGACCTAGACCTAAAACAAAGACTTTTTCCTGGGAAGAGGATAAAATAATGGTTTTTATGTCTCAAAACTTCTAGACAAAGAATCTCCTGACCTTTGTACCCAATCCAAAATTAGGAAAATAACTGGTCCTATCCAGCATGTGCTCCTCCCCAACACGAAGAGAATGCATGCATGATCTCCACTTAAAACAAGCCTCAACAAAGCCCTTCTGACCCAAATAAAAATCCTTTGCCCCAGTTTCTCTTCGGCAACCCATTTACTGGATCTGTTGCATCTTCTTGGGAGGCCTGTTTTCCTTTCTTTCTCCTTCAATTAACTCAGCTTTACTAAACCTATTCTGTGTCTGCATCTGTAATTCTTCCTGAGCATGAGACAAAAACCCAGGTCTCACTGCAAGTGCTGGGCACAATCATTCCTGCACCCCCATATTTCTTGTCATATAACCCTACCAGTCATAATTCTGGTTGTTATCTTAAAATGCTGTGTACTATAGAAATAGCTAAATTGTTTTGTCATTTACCTTATTATTATTATTATTATTATTAGTTGGAGAGGTTTTTCTATAGGGTGCATGTGCTCACCAGAAAGACAGAGAGAGACAGAGAGATAGAAAGTGAGAAATAAACCCCCAGGGAGCCTGGCCATGCCGCAATCCCTTCTCCTCCATTCTCCTCTCAGGATCTTGGGCACGCACGCACGCACGCACATGTGCCTGGTGTGAGTTTAAGCCGCTGGGTCCGGGACTTGAACCGCGGTCAACTACATGGGAATCCAGCGACATAGCCATTATGCTAACTGCTGGTCCCCATTTACCTCATTATTGTAATGAGCTGCTATTAAGTGATTATAGGTATTTTAAGTTTTTGCCATTCATTTATTACTGCTCTAGTCTTCATTACTCCTTTTCTAGAAATTGTTCCCTATGAAAAAGACTAAAAAATGTTTAAATATAGGCTTCTGACAGTTTTAAGACCAATAGATTCCAGGTTAAGTTTGGCCTGAAACTTACCTGACATAGAGTCCTAGTTGTCAATTATTTTTCTCTGACATGTGATAACTTGATCAACAACAAAGACAGATCCATCCTGGCATCCAGGGACAAATAAAGCTACCATAAAATGATTGAGTGAAGATGCTAACACAGAAAGATCTTGATCAATAAGGGGAAATATTAACATTTTATAAAACTCAAAATGAAGTCACTGTTGTTAACCCTACCTGAATTGAGCCAGGAAGGCTTGGAGGAGGTGTCCACCTTAACATGCCTGATAACACAAAATTGTCTAAATAATCACTGCCCAATTTGCAGTCCTTGTTTTGTTCTGCTTTCTTTAAATATGTCAAAAGTTTGAGTACCTTGTTAAACATGTTTAAAAAATTATACTAATGTAAACTATACCGGGTAGTCCTTAACTTTTTGCCCAGATAAAATCTGTTTTCTGCTGCTGTTGACTTTTAAATGCTTTGCTTCAGTTTCCTTTTTAGGTTAGCAGTAAGCAATACCTAAATAGGGTCTTTAAAATAACACCCATGCCTCCAGAAAATTTTCTCTAGATTTGGCTTTTTTTTTTTTTTTTTTTTTTTTTTTTTTTTTTTT